GCTCAGTCGGTAGAGCACCAGACTCTTAGTCTACCAGATTATCTGGTGGTCGTGGGTTCGAGCCCCACATTGGGCGTTTTCTTTTTTCTTCTTTTTTGCGGCATCATCCACCCATTCACCCACCCCGTGCGCTCTCATCTACCTCTCTCTTTCTTGTTTCGCTGTTTGTGTACGATCAACGGCCTTCGCGTTTCCTTTGCCACTTCTTTCTTTTCCTCTGTAACCCATGTGCGCTTCTGGTCACAGTGCAGATTAATCGTCCTATTACATACATGAATATTTGAGGTCACATGAGGGTACAGTGTTTGTGGGATTGGACTCCGTTGTTTTGTCTCCTCTGAGGACGCCGTCTCGAACGGGACGAACGGCGAGTTCATCCAGATCAGCGCTTGTGGTTGTAGACTTCGCAGAGGAACGGTTGCATCATCTCGTCTTTGGCTCTGCTGAGCTTGACGCGCCTGCGCAGATTCACATGTCAGTGGCGGTATCGCGCTTGATCATCAGGGTCCGCGTACTTGGCTTGACCAGTCATGATTGCAATCATCAGATCGTGCTTGCTTGCGTACTTGTTCATGAAAGAGCAAGATTAGTGTGGCGCGACTCCTGACACTGACAAGTCGACCTACTTGTGTGACTGTGCTAGCAGGCAAACCCGCTCTCATTGCGTCGAGATATTCTTTGATCGAAATGTGAACTCGTCGCAAGAATTTCTTGCACTGCGTGATGCTGTCGGGTACATTGAAGGCTCTGCAGACGTCTGGTTTAGGAGCAAAAATGGGCCAGCAGAGTCAAGTTTCAGCGCCGTCTCCTCCTCAACGCCGCATTTCACCAAGCGGCCTGGGCGCCACCGAGGCTCACTGAACTGAACGATGAGCGACTGGTAGAACAAAAGTCGATGCTGTACACCGGCCCTGACGAACGAATCCGTGTTTCGAATGTAGTGTTGAGCCACCGAATCTGCGTAGGCAGAGTTCTCTGACTGGGTGCACAACGACCAGCTACGTTCGGAATGTTCGTCTGGCGTGAACAACGAAGCGGTGCGGTCGCTGCCTCTGTCTTGACTGTCACCTAGACTCAGCTGTTCAAGTGCTGCAGTGGTGAGCTCGACTGATGAATCGGTGCGTTTGTTGCCTCTGTTGTTGCGTCTCGGCATCGCCAGCATACACGAAGGCAAAGAGACCCATGACTGGCCTGCTATATCACTCGAGCGCAGCGGCAGCGCAGCGTGTGATTCATGCTGTGCTCGGGCAGCGATCAGTCTCATGAGGAGAATGCCATGATATTCACAAACGAATTGATGTGTCTCTTGAAACGAAAATCGGCCATGTATCAGCGACCTTTCAAAAAGGGTCGAACCCCGAGAATGGGACCCGAAGACAAGCCCGAACGGGCTGTGGCAGTTTTGGGCTGACCACCGACGAAGAGTTGACCGTCGTGTGCCGCCGTCTCGACAAACATGCCGTCTACTCGTCAGTCTTGCATCACTTTATTGAGGTTAAAGATGTACCGTGTTGCTGACTGTGTGTTTGCTTTTGCTCCAACGCCCTTCAACTCGTTGCCGGTCACATTCCATTGTCGAAATGCTCGATTGACAACGATCCACGGTTTACAACACTATTAACGACGGATCTGCAACTTTGAAACATGCTTTATGTCTCGATACGTGCTTCGATGGATGCTCAAATGACACGGTCGGCTGTACTCGTGCTGGAACGAAAAACCCAACCGCGCCGTCTGTTCTGCAATCACGCACGTCACTCGCGCTCAATCAACGCATCACCAAACAGGATTGTACGCCAAGGGCAGGATCACGGGCCAGCAGCGTGGCAAGCGCAACGTGCGCACCAACACCAACTTGATCCAGATCGAGGGTGTTGCCAACAAGGAGGAGGCTCAGTTCTACTTGGGCAAGGTGAGCGTCACACACACATCCAATCAAATGGTGCTGCTGTTAGGCGATGGTCTTGGTGGTGAAACAAAGGCATCATCGAGCACAGTTGTCCCGGTTCACCTGGATCGCCCAGTCAACCTGAGGCGCGCCATACATCGTCCAGCACATCACTCCAGCACGCTCTATCATCAGACAGCGTTATTTATCGAACGTTGGGAGCTACATTGCTAACTTGCCCGACCTGGTTCATCTCCGCAGCGCATCGCTTACGTCTACACTGCCCAGAAGGCTGTTGACGGCTCAAAGATCAGAATCATTTGGGGCAAGGTTACACGATCACACGGCAACGGTGGCATGGTCAGGGCGCAATTCAGGAAGAACTTGCCCCCGGTCTCGTTCGGCCACTCTGTCCGCATCGTGAGTTCTGCTGCTGAGTCGGTCCATTCTCGTGTGCTGTTTGCTCACTGTGATATGTTTTGCATCTCTATCCCTCACGCGCTGCAGATGCTTTACCCATCAAACAGTACGTCACAGTTCCCTCGACCAGCGAGTTTCGGCGTTGCATCGACGAACCCGGCTGACATGTTGACTCTTTGAATCACCTTCCTTCAGTCTAAACGCATTGACTTGCGCCTGATGCTTTGACGATCGGAGGACGCTTCTGCATTCATCGTCTTCAGTTCACATACCGCGAGTGCCCTCTAGGCTGTGGTCCTCCTGTACAAGATGTTTTTGCAACATGGGTCACGTTCTGAGGATGAACTACACATACGGCAGCGCCCTTGTTCGAAAGAGACCAGGACATGAAAGAACCCTGTGGCGGCAAATCAGAACCCGTGCATCGCGAACCTCCCAAATTCTCGCTCGCTCGAAGCTGTTTCTGATACTATGGCGACTAGTTTCGCTCGTCTTCGCCTGCAATGCTCGTGTATCGAGTAGAGCTATGTGGCGCATGCTCCTCAGCCCCCTTGAATCTGTAGGACCCCCGTCATCACACAGTCCCCCAGACTGCGCTGTAATAACTGCGTATTCTGTGGTTAGTGACAGAAGAAACGATCAGTGGCTCCTCATTGATCAATGGCGAATGACCCCGACTCGCAGCTTGTTCTCTCTTTTATGAGTGTCCCATTTCATTCTGGTTTCGTTCAGATAGTTTTCTTTGTTACAGCAAAGAACCGAGTAATTAAGCAGTCTGAAGTCGCCAGCTCTCTCTCTCTCTTTTCCTTTCTCATCTCGCAGTTGAAAAAACTTTGAAATCTGTTCTGTTAGAAAGTCATTCCAGGTCTATAGACGATCGAGACCCAGAGGAGCTCGCGTCGGATCCCGATCCGTCTGGCACCTTACAGAATCCTCGCTCGAACAGAGCTCGTGTTTCCTGCAGCGTGAGATTTTTCGTTTCCGGCAGTTTGCTGTACGTAAACAATAAAGCACCGCCGATGATACCACACAAAAGCAAAAACGTTCCGCCGACAGTCAACAATTGTGTCAGGTGAAGATATGTTGATGACACGAGTAGATTTGTTGTCCAATTGACTGCAGTCGCAAGCGACGTCCCTGTTGCGCGAAGCTCTTGTGAGAATACCTCGCTTTGAAGCACCCACGGCACGTTACCGAGTCCTAGGGCATACGATGAACAGAAGACGACCATTCCAAACAGCGCCACGAACGCGCTCGCGCTAGGGCCATTTTGACTGTCCGGGTCCTTCGACGCGCTTGGAACGAAGAAGAACGCTACGCCAAGAATGGTCATGCCCACTAGCATGCCCACCAAGGTTCTCAGCAAGAGAAGCCTTCTGCCGAGACGATCGATCAACCTCAGAGCAATGATTGTGCAGACGCTGAAAGCAAATCATCTGAATTAGCTCTGAGATGTAGGTTTGCGTGAACTTTCAGCCTCACAAGTTTGAAACGGCGACGACTATTGCAAATGCTGCTGGATTTCCGAAATGTGCGCTTTCCAGTATCCGGCCAGAGCTGAAATTGACAACGAATGAGTGCGGATACGAAAGCGCTCATCTTTGCCAACTCACAAATACATTAGACAATTGAATCCGGTGGCTTGTTGAAAGAATTGCAATCCACATGCGAGGATGACCGCTCTTCGATTCGCATCGTCACGCCAGATCTTGGTCAACAATCCTTCTTTGACCTCCCTGAGGCTTCCAACTTGACCCAGACCAAGCAGACCCTCTTCCTCTGTGTTCGCTGCCTCTGCCCGCATGATATCTATCTTGCTCTGAATAGCGTCGCCACTGAGTCGAGGATAGATCATCTTGAGAGTCGATCTCGCCGCAGCCGTGCGCCCTCGCGAGAGCTGATACCGTGGTGACTCGGGCAAAGACGAAATGGCCAAAATGAGCTGCAACAGTGCTGGTACAGCTCCGATGCCGAACATGTATCGCCATCCATGAGCGACCGGATAAAAAATGGCATCAACTACATAAGCGAGTACTTGACCACCAGTGATGAGAGCGACAAGGCTTGCGACGATGCGACCGCGAAACTTGGCTGGCGACACTTCGGCCAAATATGGAGGTAATATCGCAGAGGACAAGCCAACACCAACACCAACAAGTATTCGGCCGAGGATGACCTCCTTGTAGACTTGTGCTGCTGCTTGCTCGAGAGCTGTAAATGGATTTGTGGTCAGCTGGAAACGGAAGCTAGTTGGCATCGGCTTACCTCCTAGTGTGAAAAGAATCGCCGCTGCCAGGATGACAGGCCTACGACCGAACCTGTCTGCACTCTTGGCGGCTACGATCGAACCAACAAATGCTCCAACCAGCGCAGACGAGACGAGCCACGACTCTTGTCCGGTTGTCAAAGGTTGGCGCTCGGGACCCTCCGAATCTGACAAGTCTGTACCAATGACGAGCAGTGCACCACTAACAACGCCTATACGTTCATGTGAGCGAAGTTCAATCCCAGTTCCGAGTCAGGTTACTGGAAATGAAGTGCTCACCTGTGTCGAATCCGCTGTGGACGAAGCAACGTGAGCTCGGCCGTTGAACCACAGCTACCGTCAACACAAACGACTCACAAAAGCAGACCTGGTGCCACCAGAGGATGAGAAGGCGCATGCTTCAGCTCTCTGCTCTTGTGACCTTGACACTGATTCCGTCAACTCACCGCCCAGTCCAGCGACCACGGCGATTCTGATGAGCGCAGGAGTGATGG